GCTTGAATCGAGAGAAATCCGTTTGTCTAAGATGTACACTCATTTTTGGTGAGTTTGTATCGATGGGACTTCTTCTTAAGTCTTATATCCTTTTATCTAACTAATTTCTTGTACTGAGTTTTTAGCTAATTTGGCGCAATTGCTAGTCCCTGTCACAATTTGTTTATGACAATTTTGAATATGGAGGCGGTGAGAATTTTTTCCGCAAGAATTTTATTATGTATAGCGGCAAATATGAGACCAACGTAATCGCCAGCACTTTCCACAAGAATTCGAATGACCAAATGAAGTCCCAATCTAACGCAATCTAAATAACCACAAGAATAAACGAACATACATTTAATTTACGAAAATGGATTATTAACAACTTCATCAATTCCAAATTACATTACTCAACATACCAAAGACAGTACATAAAGCAGCAAACTAAATATTTCGGCCATGTCCATCAACCTAGAAATTAATTTATTATTCAGTTTGATTTGTTTCAAATTACCGACTAATTTACTACTTATTGACATGATTCCAAAAGTTTAAGTGGCTATACGCCATTCAATGTGAAATATGCTTACCTGTGCCATGTTCGAATTGTCAATGCAACCATAATAAGTTCAGTTAGAATCAAAGCCGAAAAGCTAATCGAAACAATGTGAATGAATTCATCTTCGAATAAAACAAGTGCTCCGTACATAATTACGCCGCCTGTGAAAGAGAAAAAAATATGAATTCAACTTCAAAAATATCGAAAATGCAAATGTGGAACATTTTAAATCAAAATTTCTATGTTACCTTGATAAATGCTAATCAAAACCCATATGAAGAATGTTTTATAGCTCAAACTACGCCCCTTTGACAGCTCCTTGTATAGTTCAGGATATGTTAATGCCATTTGTGAGCATATGTCTTGATCAAGTACAAGCGAAAACACTGGGAACATTGTGTAGATAGTTGCATAGCCAACCATGAGAAAACCTTGATACAATGACACCGATGAGACATAGAAAACAGCAGAAAACACAGCTTGCACCGTGGACATGATTAGACCACGGTGAATTACAAATTGTTACAATGCAGCCGATCGTTTGTAAGAACGTCTTCCATGCACAAGCAATAATTTGGCAATATGCGAAAATTGAGTTATACTAAAATCGCCTGCCAATGATGCTTGTCTTCCTTCTCGTCCTTCGATTCCAATGCCTGAAATTTGTACGGTGAATTAACATCGAATGCCTCTATGTCGTAAAATTACATTTGATATTACCTGCATCGGCTTGTTGAATCATACTAACATCGTAGCCACCATCACCGATGGCGCACGTACGTTTTTCGGTATGTTTATGGATCAGTGAAACAACTTGAGCTTTCTGCGTTGGATTGCATCGACAGCAAACAACAGCCGGACACTGTGTGGCTAATTCCATGAATTCACTTTGATAGTAATGCAAACACACATCCAAACTTTCACCAGACACAACGAGCGCACAATTTCGCTTTCGTCGGAATTGATTTAATTCAATGTGTGCATCGGTTCTATGAAAGAGAAATATGCATATATAGTAATGAACTCATTCTTTTTAAATATGATAATCAATGATTTCATAAAATGCATAGTACAATGGAATGTACTTTTGGCCAACATTTTGAAATTTGATATATATCATTTGAAATATATTTCAAATGTAGGCTTAAAAAAAAGTTTAAAATCATACTCATGAAAGTATGCAATTTTTAGCTGCTTTCTTGAAATTTGATATTTCAAAATGGTGGCCAAAAGTGCATTCTATTCTACTCGAACCATTTGAACCGATCATAGATGAACATGAAAAAACAACGTAATTTATGAACGGTTCACTTATTGAACGCTTTGCTGAATACAGTGGTAATATTAAACATACTCTACACAAACTAAAAATTATGGTAACACCAATATGTGAATGCTGAATGTTTCGAAATGTACATACATAACAACATTTTAGCAATCACATGTCCAAAAAGCCGGTGTCAACATTACGTTGTTGTGCGCAGTATTATTTTCGAACGTTTGTGTTTCCAGTCCTGAATAATGCAAGACGCGCACAGTTGTTGGATTATGTGCCGAACGCAAAGCGTTCGAAAAGTTCAAAACTATCGGAAGATTCGATCAAATTATTTGAAAAAAATTACATCAACGAATATAGCAAATTGTTTGAGGAGAACGGAGACCTCAAAGAACAAAATGACAATTTACGTGGCAAGATCAATGAACAATCGTTAGCATTGAATGCAATGAAACAAAATTTCCAAGCTAAATAATCTGAGTTATTTCATTACAAAGTCTCGCGCACACTAGAAATCATTTTTGGCCACGTGACCAAAACTGTTTTTTCGTGGTGGCCAAAATAATTCATGGCAGCCCTTGTTTCGTGTTGAATATTTCAGAAGGTAGATTATATGGATAGTTTGCAAAATAGTCATTTTTAGTAGTTCAAAATTCTGGCCCCATAGATCAATTTGATATATAGATGTATATGCAATTTGAATAGCTTGAGTAATATAATTTATTCGATCCGTCCAAGGGCACAATATTGTGAGAGCGTGCAAATGAAAATGTCAGACTGGATGAAAAAAACGTTCGACTTTTATCTACTGTGTGAAGTCTTTATGCACGATACATATTTACGCATACATGCGCATACTGCTTATTCTGGCACACTGCTGTATGGTACCGCCCGTACCCGTGTGCAAAAATAATAACTTAAATCTTAAAGTCAATTTATGATGAACTTATAAAAAACACATTTTTCAGAATGAATTTTTTTAGCGTTTGCGTCTAATATCTGAGTCTAGATGAAATTCTCAAAAATTGAAATATCTGTATCAAGATGTAGATACGAAAGCCGTATCTAAAAAACACTGATATGTAATGTAATGAAGTTGCTGCGTTGCCCAGCTATCATTGTCGTCGTGCTTTGGTCACATCTCAAAAATTCTACAGCAGAATGACGAAGAATGACCGGCCAAAGCAAATGCCAAAGGAGCGAGTACGACGTTTCCCCCTTTGCTAAGCGAAATAAATCCGATATACGGCGCTGATTTAAATGTCACTCTATGTCATTCCACAATGATACATTTTTTGGCTTGACAATATATAAGCT